GCGCTCGATGGTCTCGGCGAACACGGGGAGCTTCATGAGCGCCGAGCCCATGCCCGCCCACTGACTGCCCATGCCCGAGTACACGAACCAAACCGTCCTCTTCTCCAGCGGCTGGCGATGGGGAGGTCGTTAGCGGTAGTGCATTGGACAGTCATGATAACAAGCCACTCCACCCAACTTACCGCGATAAGGGTGTCGTCCCCAGAGGATGGACAGATGACGAAGCCCCGGTAGGTGTACCCTCTAATGTCGTCGCTGAACACGTCTTGCAGCAAGCGGTAGTAGTTTGTGTCAAAAGGAGCAGATTGTATCTGTGTTTTGAGAACAAGGTTGTTAATGCAGACCCACTATCTTAGTTCTAGTTGTACGGATGCGCTTGTGGCCTCACCTTTTTGGCAACGTCAGCAGCCGCCTCTTCGTTCCTGGCCGAGAAGGTGATGAGGCGCGGCAGGTGGTCGGCGGGGTCCTGGACGCACCCTGGGCCGCGGGGGTTGCCCCCGAGCACAGTGTGGCCCATCATGGATGAGAGTGCTATGGTGTGTACAGCCAGGACGCTGTCGTCGGACAGTATCAACGGCGTGTTCTTGTCCACGACCTGCAGCAGTACGTGGAGGTCATGATCTTGTTGAGGACAACTGCACACTGTCCCTCCTCACCCTCTAGACGTACCTTGAGCCTGCCCGCTACCAAACCCGTGGCCTCGCTGTTGGGCTCCTGGAAGTTGATTGTGGCCGGGATGACTCCTGTCTCCATTGCGATCACCATCTTGCAGATCGCAGCCAGGCCGTTGACGCAGTCGACGTGTCCGATGTTGCTCTTGACCGAGCCTATCTGCAGGGGGCTTGCTCTCGCTGCCTTCTGGACCAGCGCCTGGTCGATGGCGTTGAGCTCGCACGCGTCCCGGATGCGGTTGCCGTTGCCGTCGGCCTCCAGGTAGGCGATCGTCTTGGGGTCGATGGCGTGCTTCTCGTAAATCCGCCTCAGAAAGTCTTGGGTGCCCTTCGGGCTGGGCAGTGTGGGGTTCAGGTCGCATCCTGGCCCAACGAACTCGACCTCGGTGGCCAGTACCCTGGCGTAGCATCGCTTGGCCTGGTCGGCGCGCTGCAGAAGCAAGGCGACCGCCCCGTCACTGCGCACCGCCCCGGTTCCTGCAATGTGAGCGATACGTTGACCTTGAGGTGGTTCCGGTGGTCGAGATACAGTGTGTTGGTGACCTACTGTACCACTCGACGAAGTATTCACTCCCGTCGTACCGGACATCCCCCCTGGGTAGTACGCGGCATTTCTTGTAATGCATCGAAAAATAACAAAATCTGGTATAAAATGTCACAGTTGTTTTGCTTGTTTTTCCGGCGTAATACCCGGCGATACTCCGTGATTGGGTGTAATACCGACTACTCTGGAAGTTACTACCTCCTCGGTACCACTGCTGTACCTACCGTTTGCATCGAAGCTCCTGGTGACCCCCTCGTCGGTCACGAGTCCCAGCTGGTTGAGCAGCAGCGAGGTCTCGCCGTAGCGGCTGATGCTCCCGGCCACGACGAGCGCGGTGTCGCACCGCCCCTCCCGGATAGCGTCGGCGGCTTGCTTCAGCCCCAGGAGTCCGCCCACCCAGGAGCCGTCGACGGCGCAGCTGGGCCCTGGTGGGCGCGAGATGGTTTAGACAGGAACGGACTCGGGTAGTCTACATCTTTGCTCTGAGCGCTTACCTTTGAAATCGAAGTAGTACGAGAGGCGATTGGCTAGCATTGACCGTGACATGCCCATGATGATGTAGCCGTCTTGAAGCCTTGCGTTATCGATGGTGTAAAGGGCGGTCTGTTCGAACTCATTGATACCGGAGGCCGCAAAAACTCCTGTTTTGGAGCCGAACAGGGTCGCCGGGTGAAGACCTGTGCAAGGGAGTGCATGCGTCTCTGTTAGCATCAGCCCGTGCCGTCATCTGCGCCCCTCAGCTTCCCGGCGGCCTGCGGCCTACCATCGATGTTTCTTACCGGCGTCTAGGATGGCCTCGAAGCTGCGCATGCAGCTGATCTTGGTCGTTGGGTCCGACACCAAGGCCAACCTGCGGCTCATCCCGAAGAAGAGGTCGTCGAAGTACTCGTAAGGGGTTTGGCCGCATACAGGCGTAAAGACGCCTGCGATGGAAATAACGTATAGAGACGAGTCATTGATTCCGGAGGATTTCTTCTGACCTAACACGTAGTTACAATATCGTCCCTGACCAGCACGCCACGACGCTGTACGGCCCGAAGAAGCAGGCAACTTGCACTGCCACGTAAAAGCGGTTGCAGTGCAGTGCATAACTGGGGTCGGTTAAATACTTCGTGCCTTTTGAGATGGGTGGGTATCATGAGGTCCCACGGGCTTTAATAATGTTCCTGATCATTTTGGGACCCCATAATCCCCCCCCCCTTCCCACAAAAAAGGGGTACTTAGTAACTGAACAATCCCCTCTGTGAGCGGACACTAAGAATCAGCCGGGTGGTATTTGAAAAGTACGTTTGCTTCAGCGCATTGGTCGCTGGTATCCCTCACCATCTGTCCAGCGCTTCGTCCTCTGCACGAGGTGCTTGTTGGCGAGGAGGTCGCGGCCGAAGTCCTGGATATTGCTGCTCCCCGAGAAGGCGCTCCCGATGCCCGAGATGACCACTTCGCTCATGGTGGTGTGTTGGAGTGAAGCACTCTACAGCAATGCTTCTGGCGAGACTGGCAGTCCTAGTTATAGTGAGACCAGCCTAAGGTCCCACTTTGTGAAGCACGGTCACGGGCAGCATAGGAGATCGCAGGCGAGAGGGGGGGAGGAAAGGTGTGGCCTTAGGCTGGTCTGCCTGTAAACAAAACGGAACATGCCGTGTCACATTATGTGGCCGGGCGGGAGCCCTCTCCCCGCCACCGGATTGATATTCCGACCGAGCCGGTCACAAATTCTATGAAATGCTAATTCGTGGATAGGGTTTTGGTCTAGAGCGCTGAGCGGAAGTGCAAGAAAAAAACGGAAAGTGGAAAGGCGCCCGCACTCCTCCCCGCCTGCCCTCCGCTTCTCCGGGCGCACCCCCACTACGCCCAATACAGCTAGGTAGATTTCGTATGATCCCCTTGTTAGAGATAACTTATGCGACTGTTCCATTTCACTCTCACTACGTTCAAGTTGCATTTTCTAGCCCGTCCTTCTGCTTCGGAAAAGCTTTACATTGAGCTCATGCAAACGACCACGTATCTGTCTGTCTGTCTGTCTGTCTGTCTGTCTGTCTGTCTGTCTGTCTGTCTGTCTGTCTGTCTGTCTGTCTTTTCCACTGGAAGGAGATGTGCTAGAGACTTGAAATTTCCAGGGAATCTTAAGGTTCACTCCCAGAAAACGAAACGCGCCTACGGCATATGCTGGCAACCATCCCTAAGAGTGCAAATGGGGGTCACAAAGTAGCACAGGTACGGGTAGGTCCAGAAAGTTGAATTTTTTATGTTATTCCGAGGGGTAACTCGTGAGAGTAGAATCCTCTGGGCTAAAATTTCGTCCGCTTGGCACTGGATGGTCCTTATTTTTTTACGAAAATAATCCAAAAACGGCTGTGGTCAACATAAAGTCGTAGAAGGAGGCCTCAAATTGCAAAATGGAACAAGAAGTCACCCCCCCCCCCCACAAACTTTTTCTGAGCAGAAGGGTGGGTTGTGGTCACCGTGCGTCACCGTTACATTCCTTCCTCGCGTCTAAAGGAGCCCATGTTTGTTGTTGGCTGAGCGATTAGCGAAGCCTATTACTCCACTGATGATCAAAAAGTTTCGCGTCTGTTTGT